TCTTGTGACACATCGTGATGGGAGATCAGAGAGGAGTGGGATGAAAAGTGTCCCTGTGTGAGCATGGCCAGCAGCATCCAGCCTTGCCAGGCTCCTTTCCAAAGCTGCCACAAGGGCTGGGCTCTTCAGAGGGCAGCTGAACCCCAAGTTTTGGTAAAATTCAGCTGGAATTCATTCAGGGAGGGAATAAAGGAGAGGTTTGCTGTGTCCCCACCAAGATGCCGTGTGTGGCCGAGCGGGATCCAGGAGCTCAGCAGCCGTAGATCTGTCAGCACTTCTATTGTGGAGGCCTTTGCAGGGTGTCCAAAGCTTCTGTTTTAATTTTGCTGAGGGTTGTAACTCTGGCAAAATTTAAAGGCCTTTCAGCTTCCAGTCAGGAGGTTTTAAATGCTCTAATTTTGCACTTTACCCCCCCCCAAAAAATATATTCTGTCTAGCAAGTGGGTAGGGAGTTCCTTAGCCAAGGTTTAACAGCATAGATAATGAACTAATTAATTTCTTTTTTTAATGCTCATGTTCCAAGTCCACTTCCTAAGAGAAAATCCCCAGCACAGCCCCATTAGCCATGGATACACTTCCTTACCCATTTGGGTATTTCCAAAGTCACTTCCCAGGGCTCCCTGAACCACCCAGGCCATCCTTCTGCAAGTGTGATAGAGGCTGAATCAGCCTTTCCTTAGGGTGAATCATCTCAGGTGTCGGTGTCTCACTTGGTAATCCCCAAAGTGGCACAAAAAAGACATGGAGCTGTCAGAGCAGGTCCAGAGGAGGTCACAGAGCTGCTCTGAGCGATGGAGCCCCTCTGCTCTGGAGCCAGGCTGGGGAGAAGAGAAGGTTCCAGAGGGACCTCAGAGCCCCTTCCAGTGCCTGAAGGGGCTCCAGGAGAGCTGGAGAGGGATTTTGGATAAAGGATGGAATAACAGGACATGAGGGAATGGCTTTAAGACAACAGAGGGTGGATTTAGATGGGATTCTGGGAAGAAATTTCTGACTGTGAAGGTGCTGAGGCCCTGGCTCAGGTTTCCCAGAGAAGCTGTGATGCCCCTGGATCCCTGGCAGTGCCCAAGGCCAGGCTGGGAGCTGTCCCTGCCCATGGCAGGGCGTGGAATTGGGATGGGATCTTTCAGGTTCCTTCCAAACCATGCCATGAATTGGCCAACCCTGGAGCCCCTGCCTGTGACTCTGCTGAGAGAATTTACAGCAACCCAACTGAGCTGTGGATTTTCTTGGAGGAAGAGGAGAAGGATTGAGAAGCAAAGAGGAAACAAAACACTTTTCCCATTTAGGGACAGCCTGTGGCAGGGCTAGGGACTCTTTAGGGGTGCTCAGCTCTCGCTCCCCGCTTTGGGCTTTTCACCTGCTCTCCCTGGTGAGCTGAAAGAGCCACAGTGCTGCTCCTTCCAAGCACAAGCAGCACATTCCCCCTCCTTCTCCTCGGAGAGCTGCCAGATCAAAATGGCTCTGATCCAACGCCAAGAATCACTCCCTTTGCTATGGAAATGAGCGCTTGGAGGCTGCTCACCATGTGTTGATCACAGAGTTCCTGCTAAGGATGACGAGCTGTAGGTGGGGAAGAGGGCAGGGAAGGTGTGTTCCAACAGATCCCTTTGGAACAAATAAGGGTATTTTTGGAGGCAGCTGAACTCTCTGCATTTTTAAAAGGTAATTTATAGAAAACCGAATGATTACCCTTTGCATCAGAGGGTGAAAATGAGGGAAATCAAACAGTAGGATTTTACCATGGGGTAAAGAGTTTCTCTTCTGTTAAAGTGGAAGGGGTGACGGATCCCCAGCATCAGATATTTGAAATTTAATATTTTTTTTCCTGCTGTTCTGGTATTGATCAAGTGAAGAAGTGATACAATTATCCAAGTGATACAAATAATCCTTTGTAACCATCACACCTGAGGAGCTCCATTCCCACCCCCTGGCTCTGTGGGATGTGATTCTGGGCAATTTGCTGTGCTGGCTCAGCACGACAAGTTCAAACCTTCTCTTTCCCTTCTTCCCAGCAATCTGATTTTAATCTGGGTTCACAGCAGGGTGGGAATGTTGCCAGGGGGTGAACACTCCTGGAAATCCACCCTGCACAAAGCAGGAGCCTTTTCCCTGCTCCTGGATGATGAGAAGGGGTGGGAAAGGGCTGAGGTGTCACACTGGGCTTGGGAGAACATTCCCAATATCCTGGGGGTGGCCTGGGGTCACCTGGAGTGGTGGGAAAGGGCTGAGGTGTCACACTGGGCTTGGGAGAACATTCCCAATATCCTGGGGTCACCTGCAGTGGTGGGAAGATGATGGTGCTCACTGCCAGACCTGGCCATGGCCTCAGAGGTTCAGCTGAGCCTTCCCAGCTCTGGGAGGAGCCCTGGGGATGGAATTGTGTGGCAGGGCTGGGAATGAGTCGACACAAATCAGTAACTGGGTGTGGAACTGCATTTTTTATCATGTGTCTTATCTGAACCTTGAGACTTGAGCATTTCTTGTCATTTGGGCATCTTGGAGTTGAAATTCACCTTTTCTTTGTGTGCATGATTTGGTGAGGCTGGGGTTGTGCTGGAAGTGTCCAAGGCCAGCTTGGATGGGAGTAGTGCAAGGTGTCCTGCCCATGGCAGGGGTGGGACTGGATGAGTTTTAAGGTCCTTTCCAACCCAAACCATGCCATGATTTTGTGCAGTGCTCTCACCTGCTGGCTGGAGCTGGAGAGCAGCTCCTGGTTCCTGATTTCCCATCACTCTCTGGTGTTCCGGGGCGTGTCCAGCCTGGAACAGGCCTTTGATTTGTGCTCTGAGGGAAACAGTTGGCAGAAAGTTCATTACACAATTCCAGTAACTGATGGAAGCAGGGAGGGAGCCCAGGTTCAGCTGCAATAGGACAGAAATCATGAACAATTTCCATATAGCTGTATTCTGTGGACATCTTCAACACCTCAGCTCTTCCCAAAATTTTGCATTTAAAACCTATTTTTTCTTAAACATTCTTAATTCTCTTTAAAATATCAGTATGGCAGAGGTAGTGTGGGGAACCCCTACCTGCTGTCCATGGCTGGTGTTCAGTGTGTTCCACCCCACACCTGGCACAGGTGTCCCCACCACAAAACTGACCCCAAATCTGCCTTCTCTGGGCACACTGGCACTGGTACATCCCTGTCCCAGCAGCTGAGCCACCATGGAAGTGACCAATGCCAGTCCCCAGATGGGCTCTGGTGCCAAACAAATGCTCTGCTCCTTCTCACTTCCCTCTGCAGAACTGGAGAGTTTCACTGCAGAGCTGTCTGTTTGCTTAATTGGAACATTTTCCTCCTCTTCAAACACATTCCGTGGCATTTCCCGGCTCTGATGAGCGCTTCCCTGCAGTTATCCTGCTTTTTGTCGTGGTTAATTTTTTATTTCACCTCCCAGACTACAAAACAGCCATCAGCACTCGCTCAGCTCTTCCCTGGGAAGGCTTTGCAGTCACAGACAGCCCTGGGAGCTTTCATCACGTTTGCAGCAGACAGCCTGGGAGCAGGGATTTGGGATGGAACCACATTCCCAGTCTCTTACTCTGGAACACTGCACTGGAGTGAGGAGCTCCAGGGACTGGGCAGTGTTTCCCAGCCTCTCCATGTGCTTGGGGACCTTCTGGGAGGAGAGATAGGAGCTGGACTCTGCTTATTTTTATTTTTTTCCCTTTTTTTTTTTGCTATCCCTAGAGACTGGGACAGAAATATTTTTCCCATATGTAAAAGCAAGATGCTGTATGGAAACTCCTCTTCTGCTCCGTCTTGTGAGGGAGAAGGGCTTTTCCCATCATCCCAGTTATAAAAACCCTTTCCCAGATGTGAGGGCTCCATAGGTTGTATCCCTAATCCAAGTGTTGTCCCTGTGTCTTCTCCCAGGTGCTGGAATTTTCCACACCAATTCCCTTTCCCTCTATTCTAACCCCAGCATTCTTGAAAATAATTTTTCTCAAGAAATGCTGCAGACACACCAAGTTAATTGGAGTCATTAACTTGTTTCCATTACTCCTTTCTGCCTAGGAAACAAATTTTTTTAGGGTGATTTTGGAGTTAGAAGAAAGAACTGGAAGCTAGGGAACATGTGGAACCACTTCACAGGAACACCGGATTTTGAGAGCTTGCATTTTTATTTACATCTTCTGGACCCTGTCTGACTTGAAAGTAAACAAGTTCAATCCAAGACTAGATTTATCCCTGAAAATATGTGGAGACTTGTCTAAAAACTGCTTTTGGGATTAGGAACTTCCTTTACTGCAGTCAGGGAACAAACACATTTACAGTGGGGAAATTAACGCTTAACTGGCAAATTCTGTAAAAGCCCCCTGGAAATGCAGTTGGGTTGGGCTGGGTGCAAAACAACCTTAAATTTTAGTTAATAAAAGAAGGAAAAGGCAAAGCTGGCTGAGAATTTGGCAGGTCTTGAGATGGAGGTGTCCAAGGTCGGGTTGGATGGGGCTGGGAAGAACTTGGGATGGTGGAAAGCGTCCCTGCCCATGGCAGGGGGTGCAATGGGATAAATGTTATGAAATTGTTATTAAAAAAGGTCTTTGGTGCCAAGAGGATGGTGCCAGACTCTTTCCAGCAGTGCCCAACAACAGGATGAGGAGCAATGGCCATAAACTAAACCAGGTGGAATTTCACCTCACCATGAGGAAGAACCTCTTCCCATGGAGGGTGGCCGAGCACTGGAACTGCCCAGGGAGGGATTGGAGTCACCCCACACCCACCTGGATGCATTCCTGTGCCACCTGCTCTGGGTGACCCTGCTGTGGCAGGGGGGATCTCCAGACATCCCTTCCCACCCCAACCATTCTGGGATTCTCCCAACCCAAACCATTCCACGATCCCACGAACAGCGAGCGAATCTCTGTTTCCGCATTGCCGAAAGCGCGGCCGCGGAGCCGCTGAGAACATCCAGCGTTGATCCTTGTCCAGGAATCTCCTGGACAAGCAGCAGGAACATCCCATCCCCTTGCCTGGAACTGACCCTGTCCTTTTGCAGACACCATGAGGCGGGTGGTACGACAGAGCAAGTTCCGGCACGTCTTCGGCCAGGCGGTGAAGAACGACCAGTGCTACGACGACATCCGCGTGTCCCGCGTCACCTGGGACAGCTCCTTCTGCGCCGTCAACCCCCGCTTCGTGGCCATCATCGTGGATGCCAGCGGAGGGGGAGCCTTCCTGGTGCTGCCTCTGCACAAGGTAAGAGCTGCTGGAGTGTTTTGGAGTTCCCTGCTCGGCTGTGCTGTCACCGCAGTGCTTTGGGGATGATGAAGGTTGTGGTGACAGCGGGTGCTCGGTGGTGTCGTGTATGAATGTGTTTGATGTCTGTAATCAGCCTGATGCTTTCTGTATACATTAAACACAACAAACAAGCTGTTTGCTTGACTCATCTGAGCTGATATGGCAGAATTTTCCATGTAGAATCGTATTTTAGAAGCCTTTTTATGATCAAGTCTGGTTTTTGTGCTGTCAGGGATTCAGCTTTTTTTTTTACCACCTAAATCCAACTGCTCCTTAGAGATTTCAACCAGGAACCACCTGAGCCCAACTTCTCCTTGAGACTTAAACCAGGAACTATCTGAACCCAGCTGCTCCTTGCAGAATTCATTTAGGAACTATCTGAATCCAGCTGCTCCTTGCAGAATTCATTCAGGAATCTATCTGAACCCAGCTGCTCCTTGCAGAATTCATTCAGGAATCTATCTGAGCCCAACTCCTCCTTGCAGATTTAATTTAGGAATACACCTGAGCCCAATTGCTCCTTGCAGCCCCATGTTGGAGGGATGCAAAGGAATGAGCTGGTTTCAAGAAGGGCATTCCTGTTGCCCCTGATCCTGCATGGAAAAGTCACATCCATCTTCTAGAGGAGATTCTTCTCATCTCTTTCTGTATTGCTTAACCAGCAAATTCTTGTGATCAAAAGACTTTTTTTGTGACATTCTTTTTTCTGTGACCCTCAAACTTCTCTCTTAAGCCTGTGGTTAAGCTGTCCTCAGTCTGTCATCAGTTCCCAGCTCCACTTCCAGCTCTGCCCTGTGGAACACAGAATTAGCGCCCAGGATTCAGCACAACTTCCCTCCCGGCCAGGGCAGAGCCGAGGCAGCGACGTCTCCGTCGCGTTCAGCAAAGCCAAACCCCAACCTCCCAAAATAGCTCAGTTTGCTGCTCTGATGAGCAGCCCTTCGCTGCTTAGGGCTCATCCTCAGGCCACGTGTCCTCCTCCTGCCTGGACCACGCGTGGTGGCACTTGGTGGCACTGCCCTGGGTTAGGAATTCCTCCTTCAGCTGCATGCTGGCACAGATGTTGACAGCTGGGGATGTGCATCCCTCTTTTTTCTCTTAAATCCCAATGTTTGGAGCACAAATCTGATGAGGGGGACTGAGGACTCAGCCTGGACAAAAGGAGGTTCAGGGGGGACCCTCTGGTTCTGCACAACTCCCTTACAGGAGGGGACAACCAGGGAGGGTCAGGCTCTGATCCCAGGGAACAGGGACAGACCCAGAGGGAACGGCCTCAAACTGTGCAAAGGGGGGTTTAGATTGGATATTGTGGAAAATTTCTTCATGGAAAAGGTTGTCAGGCATTGGAACAGGCTGCCCTGAGCAGTGGTGGAGTCCCCATCCCTGGAGAGATTTAAAAGCTGTGTGGATGTGGCACTTGGGGACATGATGGCCTTGGCAGTGCTGGGGGAACAGTTGGACTCAGTGGTCTCAGAAGGCTTTTCCAACGTTAATGATTCCATGATTCTGTGTTTTCTCAGTCCTTGGCAGAAATTCCTGTTATTTCTGAGTGCCCTTTTTTGCATTTTGAAGTACCATCTTTGTCATTATGTTCACATCCATTCTGTTCTTCCTCCCACCCTCTTATTTATCACTGCCTCGGTACCCTCAGCTCCATTCCTGCCTTCCACAGGCATTTAAATCCACATCTGAGGAGGTTCCATGGGAAGCTGGAGGAGCTGTGGCCCTCACCCCCAGCCTGACACGTTCTTTTGCAATGCAGTGCTTTGCTGGCTCTGCTCTAACCAGTTCCTGTGTTCCGCATTTATTTTTATAGCCTGGGCTGATGAAATTGTTCCTTTAGTTCCTTCAACACCCTAAATAACATTTGGATTTCTCTTTGAGCCTGTTTAGCACAGATACTTATTAAGCTCCCCGCAGCAAAATCTTTGTTGTTATAGTCAAAAAAAAAAAAAAGGCAATTTTAAACCATGGGATCGGGCTGATTTTAAAATTGAGCCATAAAAATACACTTGCTGCATTTCTGCAGGGGAAATGTCCCATAACGACATCGCGGCTGCTCAGTCCCAGCGCTTTGCGGCTCACTGGGAATTACCTGGGATGTGACTGACCCTTGGGGCGGGAGCACAGAAAAGGGGCGATTTTACTCCTTTTAATGTGCTTTTCTTGCCAATTCTCAGTGACATTACAGGGTTTTGTTATGGCCGGGGTTTATCGGTGCCGGGCTGGAGGCTCCCAGCTCCCTCCGGGCGCTGAGCGGGAGCTCTGGGGGTGTTTTTGGGATATTTTTGGGGTGTTTTTGGGGCGGGA